GCTAGCCGTTGAAGAGCCATATTGTTACTGGGTTCACAGCGATATCTATACGGTATTTAAACGCGCTGCGCTCACAATCTTGATACGAGTGGCTGATTGAAAACACGCGGTGTAGGTAGAGGCGTTACATAGTCATAGATAGCTGTTGCAGGTAAGACACTCTCAAGGTACATCTTGGACAGGCCTGCCTTATCATCACTGTACAGTGCGAGGTTCTGAGAATTTCTCTTGTGTCGCTTTAACCATGTGGGGCCGCCTTCCTTCTGGGCGGCTGGACGATTTGTGGGGAGTTCTCTAGCGATCCCGCTGTAAGGTAACGTTGTCCCTGTGCTTAACTAAGTAAACACTAAGCAAGGAAAGGAGATATGGGCGAGTGGATGTACAGATCCACGTTTTCTTGATTTCGGCACTAGTTACATGGAAGTGGTCAGCTTCAATCCCCTGCCGCTTTATCCCCGGGGAAAGGACCCCGGTTCGTATCGGGTAGGAGGCTGGGTGGGCCCTTGAACCGGTATGGACATTACTGAGCAGAACAAATTCTTGACCCTACCGTAACAACTCCGGTGTATCATTTCAAAAACAGCAACCACTGAAGGCTTGAGAACGTCCCACACTGCTACCTTAAGTCCAATATGAAGGTAATGGTAATATGTTTATTTTCAAATGTCTTTAGTTCTTAATTCTCTATTTCACAGGTGGATTTTCTTCTAGATACAGACCGATTTGACCTTGAATTAGAATGTTAGACACGTATCTTCTCCAATTGAGTGTCCTCTTTGCCATTGCCCTGACTGCCATCTATGTGTACTTCAAAGCAGCGTTCTCATACTGGCAGAAGCGTGGTGTGCCCTCTTTGAAACCGAAGCCACCATTCGGGGATCTTGGTGACGCAATATTCAGAGGAAAGAGTGTTCGGCAAGCAGTCACTATACTTTACAAAGAGTTTGATGGACAGAAATTTGGAGGAATATACAATTTTGCTAGTCCAACGCTACTCCTGCGGGACCCCGAAATTATGAAGGTTGTTTTGGTTCAAGATTTTGATAAGTTTCACAGCCGCGGAATGCTAATAAATGAAGAGAGGGATCCCTTACAGGGTAACTTGGTTACTTTGTCTGGATCAAAATGGAAAAATCTAAGGGTCAAACTGACTCCAACGTTCACATCCGGGAAGATGAAGATGATGTTTGGAACTCTGGTAGACTGTGGAAGGGAACTCCAACTTTGTCTTGAGCCACTTGCCCATAAGGGAGAAACAGTTGAGGTAAAGGATGTCCTCGCAAGATACAGCACAGATATCATAGCTTCCTGCGCGTTTGGCATTCAGTGCAACTGTCTGAAGAACCCCGATGCTGACTTCCGTAAATGGGGGAGAAAAATTTTGGAACCTACTTTGATGAGAAGACTCGCCCGAATTGTACAATTTGCTTTTCCGTCATTGGCGCTTCGGTTGAGGCTCGAAACACCTCCAGACGATATCAGCAACTATTTCATCAACATGGTGAAGAACACAGTGGAATACCGCGAAACGAACGGAGTCAAGAGGAATGATTTCATGGATCTCATGATACAACTGAAAAATAAAACACTGGAGGTGCCTGAAGGAGAAGACAGCGCTCTCGGAAACCTGGATATAGACGACATGAAAACTAACGCTCCATTTGGTAAGCGTAACCATTATCTCACTTTCTGAATGTAGTATTTTCTTTATTGCTAGTGGGGTGGGACTAAGTCCCTTGTGC